GCATCGAACCACACAGGTGTCTGGTCCGCATTCCCAATTTGGGACAGGTCGTATTCATGCTCCCTCCTGAGAGCATTCACGAAGCGATGAAACTTAATGACGTGGTCTTCGTACTCGCGCGGCAGTTTTTGGCAAATCGTCGTTCGGCGCCGAATAGAAAGCTGGTTACGGTTCATAAACCGCGTAGCCCAGCCCCGACTTGCCTTGAATTGTGCCGGGGGTATTTCCATGTGGCGAGCGATGCTGAGGGCTTTGACGCGTATCATGTCAGTCGATACGGCGTAGCCGTCCCTTCGTGTGTCGACGACGTAGTTGACGAGCTCGCTTTCGAGTTGCGGGTACTTGCACTTTTTCCCGCGAAACGCCTTTCGGCTCCTGTTAGTAGCGGCGAGGGCATCTTTCTGATTCATCCAGTAACGCACGCGCTTCTCATCGACGTCGTACTTTCGTCCAGCTTCCCGCTTCCCGTGCTCCTCGGCATAGTCAATCACTTGCAGCTTAAATGCTGCAGTGAATGATCTCAGATGCCGGCCCATCGTCCGTCACGTGCGCTGGCTTCTGCAGGGTTCACTACAACCAACAAAGTGACACCGACGACACCGATCTGAAGTCGCGCTGCCAACGTATCGACACGATGCTAGGAACGATGCCAACAAAGAGGCCGCACAAGGCAAATATGGCGGCGCGCTGTCAACAGCGTGGTCGGCGCGTCGGCGGAAGTAGAATAAAAGCGGAAAAGCGTGCAGCGCCATCTGGCTGTAAATGAACTAACTACACTTTTCTGGCGGGACATTTTGAACTTTTGTTTTTTTTTTTTTTTCGAAATATCCGCTTTCAAAGTTGGGGTGCGGCCCTTACACGAGGGCGGCCCTTACACGAGTATATACGGTAGGCAGAAATGGCCGACGCACCATGCCGACGCACGTAGGGGGCGGCCATTTTGGATTTGCCGATGGCAAAAGATTGAACGTAACTTTTTTTGTACTCGGTTATAACGCGCATGCGATTTATGAACCCGCTTAACCGGAAAAAAGGTGCGAGTTAGATTCGAGTAATTACGGTATGTGTTTTTTTTTTCCTCGAGTAATTATCGCACTCCCGAAAATTGCCACAATAGTGTCGTCTGCTTGTTCCAGCCGTTGATAGCACGTGCCATCTCTTAAGCATCAAGCGTACTATTATTGCACGGAGATTCAATACAATCCAAGCCAAAGCAGCAAGTGCGCGTTGCGGCGTGTTTTGTATGTTGTGTCGGTAATATTGTCACATTATGGGGCAATACTAAAGCTACACGGCAGCTTTCAAGAGGGAAGTGATTGATCATGCACTCAACGGCAACAGGGCCGCCAGAAGGCCCTTCGGAGTTGACAGAGTTTTGTGTTCGCTACTGGTAACGGCAGCTGATAGCCACCAAGATGCGTTGGGCCTGCCTTATGGCTAAGACTGGGATTGATGGTAAACTATTTCTTCAGAAGGAAACTGTGGACGATTCTGTTACATAGCCACCAGCCCAATACTGACATCCTACGCTTACCTTTTGAGGGCTCCTGTTGAGTGACAAACGATAGCGCTATGCCCGCAATGCCCTTGTGTTGAACCTCTGCTTTTATTGTTGAGGTAAAATTTAATTAGCACTTCTCAAAGCTTGCTGTTAGCATCCCGATTTGCGACCTCTTCGTTTTCTTTTTCGCCCTGTATGTTTTCGAGAAAGTTTTCCCCGCGTAATTCTCGCACCCCCCTCCCCCAGACTTTGCATCAGTTTTCCGCCGAGAAAAATGCGAGGATTATGCGAGCAAATACGGTAATGCAAAAGTCGCCGCTCCACAATACCCTACCTCCATTTCGGCATTGTCAGATACTTTTGACAGCGGACAGCTGCTGGTGTGAACGTGTTAATGCAACTGTTTGGTTCGTTCACGAAGGCGGTTTTAGGCGTTATTTCAGCATGCTTTTCACCATGGCCTCACTATGCATGGGTGAGAATCTCGTCGTGGCTCTACTGGGAAAGAATAGGAAGCAGCGCACATTTTTAATTATGAGAATAAACCTTTTGCTTTCCTAGCTCAGATAAGCTATATTTTTTTAGTTTCACTACAACGAAAGTTTTTCAGCGCCCCGCCAGTTTTATTGCAGCGGGCTTCGGCTGTAAAGAGTTAGGGCAACAGGGGCGACTTGGAACAGGATGGCACAGCGGTTCCATCCCTGCTATTGGGCACTACACGTGATCCTACCAAGACGCGTTCAGTCAAGATAGCGTACAGGTAGTTACACTATAGGAGTGCTAGTTACAGTGAACCTTCACTAATGTGTCTCCCGGTTTTGCGACGATCCACATTTCCTGACGAATCGGTTTGGTGCCAGCAGTATCTCCATAGAAATAATGTATAATACCGTAATTACTCGAATCTAACGCGCACCTTTTTTCCGGTTAAGCGAGTTTATAAATTGCATGCGCGTTAGAATCGAGTACAAAAAAAAAAGTTACGGTCAATCTATTGCCATCGGCAAATCCAAAATGGCCGCCCCCTACGTGCGTTGGCATGGCGCGTCGGCCATTTCTGCCTATGTGTTTCCCATGTGCGGCACTTCGTACGTGTGCTGAGGAGTTCGTCATCTAGTAGTGCATTAGCATCGACGGCGTGGAAGGGCCGACTCCAAAACTCGATAGCACCACGATGCCGCTTTTAAAAGAAAAGTTATGGCGTGTGCAGAAACGGACGGAAATCGGGCCGCATCGGGGTCGTTCGGAGTTCCCGAAACGTGCGTGCGGGACCGGCGGAAACAAAAGCAGAAGATTCTCGACAGCAAAGCTTCACGCAAAGGCTTCAGTGGACCACAGCAGGGTCGGTTTCCGCAAATTAAAGAGCTGCTCGGCAAGTATGTGCTTGAGCAGCGAGCAGCACAGCGGCCCGTGACGACAGAACTGCTCCAAGTGCGGGCTATGCAATCAGTCTTGGAAAAAGGTCTAATGCAGAGCCAGTTTAAAGCGAGCAGGTGCTGGCTAACTAACTTTATTTAAAGGAAAGGCTTTTCCCTCCGAAGGGGAACATGCATATGCGAAAAGTTTTGCGGAGGAGTACGATGAAAAGCTTCACAGTTTTCAGAGGTTCGTCCTAAACTTGCGGCGCAACAACGGCTACCTGCTTGGGCACATCGGGAATGCCCATCAGACGCCTCTTTACTTCGACATGCCTGGCACCACAACCGTCGAGAAGAAGGGCGCGAAGCAAGTTCGCGTGCCGACATCGGTCCACGGTAAAACTACCGTGACGGAAAGCTCTGTTACACGTCAGATGGGCACAAGCTTCGCCCGTACCTCATATTTAAATAGAATACGCTCCCGAAAGGAGTAGTTTTTTCGAGTGGTGTGATCGTGCGGGCCGGCGAGAAAAATAGGTGCGCGTTGCAATTGATGTCTTACGTTTTTTTTTTTTTCGCGGTGGAAATCGGGTGCGCGTTACAATCGAAGGCGCGGTAGAATCGAGTAAATACGGTAAACCTTGGTTATATGACGCAGTGTTACACCGACCCCGCATACGATGACTTTCAGGTTCCGTAAGAAAGAAAAAAACATCTTTACTCAAATCAAACGTAGACCAAATACTCACAAGAGAAAAATATGAATTTGCATTTCCTAGGTTGACGATTCGAAAAGTAGGGAGACAGGATATCTTTTTTAGGATAAAAAATTTATTCTCATTGAAGTTCATGTGCTTCTACGTATGCCTCGATTGTGTGCGCACGTATTCAAGGTGGCTACCTAGTTGAGCTCTATATACACGAGTAGCTTCAGGCAACCGAAAAGCTGACAATATTTTCCCATTTCCAGTTGCTGGAAACTTTTCCTGGTCAACCTGCAACTGATCTTCTGCCTTTAACACCCGCAGTCACAGGCTTTGCCCGCATAAGGGCGTGACACAGCTGTTTTCACCGTTTAATCACTTTCACTTGACGCCACTAGTTGCACTTCACAAGGCAACAAATTACAGCATGCATGAAGGCATTCTACGCCAACTCACGGTCCGTTGCCATTATGTGATAGGAATGACACTGACTCTTCTGACAATAGGTTCTAGGAAACGTGGTTTCGTTTTCATGCACAGGCAAATTTCCAACTTAATCTGTGGAAAAATGTGCATTGAAGTAAACTTTTTTAAAGTTTTAGGATAAAAATTTGCTCGCACCTCCTTCAACTAAGTAACACTATCATTAGCTACAATAACTTAATTTAACTTTTTTTGCAGAGGCACAAGATCACGCCGTGGGCTTATTTAGGCAGTCTGTACCCGTTCTTTGGGCAAGGCTGACTGTCACTGCTTATAATCTTAGTTGTACGATTGTACAGCAACTATGCGTGGTCCCCTAAGGTCATAATTGTGGCTCCACTGTATATGCATAGATTACAGTCAAATTTGCGAGCTGACTTGCACAGCACTGTAAAAATTTAAAAGCACAAGTTTTCATTCAACATTAGGCTGAATGTACAGAGCTTTTTCTTTCATCCTGCCCAGTCTGGCCCGCTTATTTCACCTTGGATGCATAACCGTTTACCTCCCGCAGACAAATTAATTATGCATGTCCATACTTCACATGCCCACTGATGCAGACTAAAAAAGTTTAGGTCTAGATCTCCAAATTTCTCAAGCAAAAAAAAAAGACTCAGACTAAAGCTCCACTTGTTTAGACCCCTTCCCCACGCCTTTATGTGCAAAAAGTTTTATTGTGGTCTCCCATATAATGCAAACAATCCTTTTTGCAAAATCTGCAAGTGAAGGCCACAACACATTATCTTAAACACCACCACCTTGATTTTTTTGCTGTTAAAAAAATGGTTTAAATGTAATTCTGTGCATATTCAGATGAGCATTCAACGATTTGGGAATGTCCGATGCATGCCTTGCAAACTGATCTAAAACACGACAGGGAACGCTTTCTAAGCAGTTTTCAAGAGGCAATGTTTCCTCCTCCCCCCACACACACAAAAAGAGGCCCTCCCTCACCAGCTTGGCACCCTTCTTGCGCCCCAGGGGCAGTGCGTAGTGGGCCTCGTACCACTGCCGGAAGGGGGTGGCATCAATCATGACGATGGCATTCTTCACAAGGGTCTTGGTTCGGACGAGCTCGTTGTTGCTCGCATTGTAGACCACGTCAATGATACGGGTCTTGCGTGTGCAGTCTGCAGAGAGGCACATGTCAAAGCCAATCACTACAAAACTACACCTCGCATTAATATTCACCAAACGATGTCAAATAAACAGTCTTGTAAACACTAGATAAAATGACAGCAATTACAAATGGTAAAAGGCATTCTCAACATCAATTTAACGTAAGAATGCATTGCTGCAAACTTTGTTGTCACTCAGGGCACTGCCAACTCGGCTAACTGGTAGTTTACAAAATGGCAGCGTTTGATGCTACAAGCTGCAGATTTTGCTATTTGATGAGCTGCTCTCCCACCTTATGGGAAACCAGCGCTTGATAGGTGGCACGCCAAGCGAGAGCCCTGGGCAGGGAGTCTCGACATAACTGCCACTCTTGCAGAGGACCAGCCCTTGCGCCCATAATACTGTATTCTAGTTCACTTTATTGCTTGGTATCACACTATCTTGAGGCTACTTTGACAGGAAGGTGCTAAAAACAAAAAAGCTTTACAAAATGCATTACATCAGCTGCTACGATATGCCCGCTTTGGACTATTGAGCCAACTGCAGAATTTCAAGTGCTGGTTCCCTATTGCAGAATGATTTTTACATCAAACTGTCTTCATCGCATAAACCTTCCATTCGCAGAGCAAAGCTCATTTACACACTGGCATAAGGCTGCCATGCATGCTCAAAGTTAGAGACACTGAAGTGAAACAGTGATTGCATTTGTCACAATTGACAAATTACCGTATTTACTCATGTAATGAACCCCCTCGCATTGCCCCCCCCCCACACACATTGGGCCAGTGCGATAGCCAGTGCTGTTGTCTATGGGAGCAAATTTAAATCAACTGTTATATAACAAACTCTACAATAGAATTCAGAAGAGTTTCTAATAACCATGGTGAACAGTTGCAAGTGGAGACTATGTCGATCGAAATTTCAGTTGCACCTTTTGCGGCAGAGCGCCATCAGCTAATGCAGAAGAAACTGCTTTGCTTATGGCACCATACTAGCACTGCAGCCCAAAAACAGCAAAAAACGAAGTGGGACTGTGCCCACTGCACTCACTGTGCCACATGCACTGGCAGTGTGCAAGTAACACTCAGTGTCTTTGTTGTCGAGTTTCTTCATTGGACATCAGGGCAGATGGGCCGGTGCGCTAGCTACATAACCGATTATAAACTAAAAGTTCGTTGAACATGAGCTGGAGCATGAGAACCGACCGGTTGCACAACATTACAGCGTTACACAGTGTGCATTTGTCACTGGAGAAAACAGCTGCCCCTTGTAAAGCGCGAAGTTCTCAAATAGATTTAGGGGCTCCAGTCCTCCGTAGTAAAAGCTAGCAGCAGTTGGACAGCAAGTTCCTTAATACAGTGCACACTACTTACCGTATTAATGTGATTCTACCGCACCCTCGATTTCCACCACAAAAAAAAAAAAAAAAGTAAGACATCGATTGCAACGCGCACCCATTTTTCTCGCTGGCCTGCACGATCACACCACTCGAAAAAACGACTCCTTTCGGGAGCGTCTTCCATTTAAATATGAGGTACGGGCGAAGCTTGTGCCCATCTGACGTGTAACAGAGCATTGCCGTCACTGTAGTTTTACCGTAGACCGATGTAAGCACGCGAACTTGCTTCGCCCCCTTCTTCTCGACGTTTGTGGTGCCAGGCATGTCGAAGTAAAGAGGCGTCTGATCGGCATTCCCGATTTGCCCAAGCAGGTAGCCGTTGTTGCGCCGCAAGTTTAGGACGAACCTCTGAAAAGTTTTCATCGTACTCCTCCGCAAAACTTTTCGCATATGCATGTTCCTCTTCGGAGGGAAAAGCCTTTCCTTTTCATAAAGTTAGTTAACCAGCACCTGCTCGCTTTAAACTGGCTCCGCATTAGACCTTTTTCTAAGACTAATTGCATAGGCCGCACTTGGAGCAGTTCTGTCGTCACGGGCCGCTGTGCCGCTCGCTGCTCAAGCACATACTCGCCGAGCAGCTCTTTAATTTGTGGAAACCGACCCTGCTGTGGTCCACTGAAGCCTTTGCGTGAAGCTTTGCTGTCGACAATCTTTTGCTTTTGTTTCCGCCGGTCCCGCACGCACGTTTCGGGAACTCCGAACGACCGCTATGCGGCCCGATTTCGGTCCGTTTCTGCACACGCGATGACTTTTCTTTTAAAAGCGGCATCGTGGTGCACTCGAGTTTTCAAAGGCGGCCCTTCCGCGCCGTCGATGCTAATGCACTACTAGATGACGAACTCCTCAGCACACGTACGAAGTCCCGCACATGAGAAACACATAGGCAGAAATGGCCGACGCGCCATGCCGACGCACGTAGGGGGCGGCATTTTGGATTTGCCGATGGCAATAGATTAACCGTAATTTTTTTTGTTCGTACTCGATTCTAACGCACATGCGATTTATGAACTCACTTAACCAGGAAAAAAGGTACGCGTTAGATTCGAGTAATTACGGTATAACGTAACCGCTAACAATGTTACTTTTTTTACTCTCGCTTACCCTTTCATAGAACCCCATGTGCAGTCAAACCTCATTATAACGAAGTTGAAGGGAAGGGAGAGTCGTAATTACTGTTATAACCATTAGTTTGTTATAGCCAATATCCATTTCTACCAGCAATTAGCCAGCACGAGAGAAAGTACACACTAACGAATATCACAGCAGCCCGCCGCACAGAGAAAAACGGCCGTCTGAAGGCAAAAAATAGCAAAATAACAAACAATGCATTTTATTTCCACTAAACTCAGCACACCAGCAGGCAATCACTTCGAAGAAAAATAGTCCTTAACATTATTGACTTTGCTGACTGCTTTTTCAGCTGCAGCAGCTATTTTGAGTCCATGCTCACCGTCACCGTAAGCACCAAAGAAGCAACACAGCAGGTCTGTCGCATCCAGCGCTTGCGCAGGTGTCTGGTTCGCCAACATTAGGCTCCGGGGTGTCGACACATTTGTCACTATTTCTACGTCATGGTTTTGTTTTCATTTGGCACAATTTCCGCATTTGACAACTCTTTGGTTGTCGTTGCATCAGCATTGGCACAGACGTACATGCAGAAAGTGTCGTCGGCCAGGCACAACGCCGGCGTCAAGGAGAGTGTCCCACGACGTCTGGGCCTGGTCACCCGCGACACCCAGTTACGTCGCCGAAATCTCAGCCACTATTTTTTTTCATGCCAACACAACGGCTTTAAACATTGCTGCTGATATTGTCCATTTCGTGCCTAGCGGCAAACATATAAAGAGGTCACATGCGTGAGCAGGTCAACGAGTTCTACAGGAAAGTAGAGGCACCTGAAGCTCAAGCTTGTGGAGTTGCGTGCGAGTCCATTCATTCCTGAGTGAAGGGGAGGGAGACTCGCTCCCACATGAGTGTTGGCAGGCCGCAGGCGGCTCCCGGGGAGCGCAAGGCGCAAGTTTTGAACTACCGCAGTGGTGATAAGACGAAAAACCGTAGCGCGGTCTAAGATATTCAGCCGTGCCAACCCCACAGTTCTTGAAGTGCTACAGGAGATGACAAAAAATACTAAAACCAAGTACAAAAATACTAAAATAGCACTTTATTTTTCATAAACTGGCTTAGATGAATGGAATACAAAAGAAACATTTCACAAAAGAGGCACGAAAAGTTCTCAAAAAGTGGAGGGGTGGGCTAGCATAGAGGCCGTGGCAGCCTTGGCCTTCCTCAGAAAGTCCTTGTCAAAGACCTGTTTGTGGCACTTTCCCCGGATGTGACTGGGCACATCTTACGACAAGCAATTGCTCCACCATCTCTTTCGACATGGAGGCACGGAACTGGGTGTGCGCCTTTTTCACTTTGCTGAAGACTTTCACACTCTGCATTACTATGCGGGAGTGTTAGGAACCCCAACATAAATTTTGAAAGTCCGGCAAACTTAAAGCTGCCATCCACTTCTCGTAAACCGGACACCGCCCGCCATTGCTCATCAATCTGCTGCTCCTTATGTACTTAACTGGGTAATTCTTCCAACTGAAGACTCAGGAACCCTGCCTGAATGTCATCCAGAGCAGAATTCACATCTTGCCCCTCTTGAAGTGGTAGCAGCACTGGGAAGCGGTTGATCAAGTACTTGACATCAGAAAACCTGGCGTGTTCAATGGGCGCAAGCCTTGCTACTTCTGCACTTTTCAACAGCTCACACTTCAGTGGAAACTTCAGGATCGTGTACTCTGTTGCTGCAACAAACCTCCTTATATGTGTAAAAATTTCTTCCCTTGCATCTTTTTTTAGGCCTTCCAAGGTCTATGTGGTCCGACTACCAATTACAACATCTTCATTATCTCTTTGGCTGACGGAAGATTAGTAGTCTGTCAGCCAACACAACACATCAGCTTTTTTTATCACTGAAGGTTTTACAAAACTTAACATGATTTCTCTTTGCAAGTTACTAAGCACTTCACGCAGCATGTGCACTTGAAGGGCTCCAGACTGCAGGAACACGTTCACCTTTTCAAATTCTGGGATTACAGACAGCAAGAAGTCACAGTATGCTCTATTTGCGTATGAAGAAACATGAATAGCCTTTCTTCTGTTTAAGACCTTTTCTGGACAGTTTTGGGTTCGCTCGGAAGCTGTATTCGACACGGGGACATTTGTGTCCAGTCTTGGTCTTTTGCTCTGATGACTGCTCTCCACTTACTTTGCATTCTTCTGAAGGTCAGTGCGAAAGTTACATGGCTTGCTGGGAAACTTGGAAACCTGCCCGGAGGGCCTTACTTCACTATGGAAGAAACTACGCAGTGGCTGCCACTGGTCCACAAGCTGTTTCAGGCTCCTTCCAACAGAGAGCCACTTGGTGCTGACATGCTTTACAATTTTCTTGGCCTCTACATCGTGGAGACTGAAAAGCTTTCAGCTTTTCTCGAGGTAGTAGAAAATGTCAACTAGCACCTCATACACATTCAGTGAAAGGCATGCTGAGCCTTTCTGTGCCGCCAGATTGATCAAATCGCAACAGCAGCCCATGATGGCAATGTTCTCAAGGCTTTCTTTCAGCACAGCAGCCACTCCGTTTTTCAATCTAATCATGACTGGCACGTTGTCACATGCCATGCCGATGCAGTTCTGGAGCGGCATCTTTTTGCTCGTTAGTGTGCCCACAACAAGCATAGGCATCGCGAGCAAAGCAGTGCAAACAGTACTATAACAGAGCGTGACCACAATGGAATACAGTCTTGCATTGTTGCCAGCGACATTGCTCCCGTCTGTGGCCACCGAGAACGGAGCGCGCTGCAAGCGGCTTATCACTTCGTCGATAGCTTTATTGGCCATTTCCTTCACAATCGCTGTAGTCTTCGTACGGACACAGGCGCAGTTCATAGCTTCCGAGTGAAAATATTTTTCGAAAGAGGTCTCCAGCGTGATCAGCAGCCATGAACGGCACGTTGTGTCCAATCAGGAACGCACTAAAAGGCACTCCGCTCGAGTTGTATCAAGATCCGCTTTGCTGAATACCCTCAAAGTTTCCCATTATAGTCCACATGTTTCGTCGAGTCTGTTTCTTTGTAATCACATGTAGCAGAATATCCCGGCCAAAAAACATTTATTAGTTCGATATATGGCATAATTCGATATAGGTCCGGTATAGGTTTCGACACAAAGGCACATAACAAACTAGAAGAAAAGTACTTTATTAATACGATGGCTTACTTGGGTGCCCTAGTGTGGAACAAAATAGTCCCCGATTTTTTTCTGGGTCAACGACTTCGCTGCCTGCGACAGCACGCACACCTCCACGTTGTCCAACGAGTCGGAGCAGCTGAGGCCACAACCTTCCACATTCAATCAATAGCGCCAGACCAACGCAAGTGCACTAATCACTTCGGAGGATGTAGGCAATGGGCCGTCGATTTCCATATTGCTGTCGCTTTGGCTCGTGGTCGGCACGACGTCTGAAATGTAATCCTCATCCTGTAATTGGCCCATGATGGGGACATCGTCCGCACTGACGAACTCGTCGAATGTCGATCCGACGATGGCACCCGGGAACTCTGCCAGCTCGTTCCAAACTTCGGCGGAAACACCTGCGGTGTCTTCAGTGCTGTCAGAATTTGGGGTGTCATCACCAGGCATGCGGAAGCCGGCATCCTAAAGCAGTTTTGGATCGTCTCCTTCTTGAGATCTGCCCACGATTTACTCAACATGGAAATAGCTCCGAGCAAGTCGATCTTAAGCTCCCTGCAGACACGAAGGTTCTGCAGCAGCCTCTCCACCAGGCGCTTCCGAGAGCTGGCTTTCATTGCGCGTACAGCACCTTGATCCAGTGGTTGCAGTACAGACGTAGTGTTTGGGAGCAAAAAATGCAGCTCAATGTTGCTGAAGGTCGTACTGCAGTGGTGCGATGAACAATTGTCCACCAGCAGGCACGCCTTGCGATTTTCGCCTACCAAATCATCATTCTACGACGATAGCCATCTGCTGAAAAGCTCCCCGGCCATCCACGCTTTTGAGTTTGCTTGGTGGGTAACTGAAAGCGACAGCGCATTTTGAAAACACCGTGGTGCCGTGCTTTTCCTGATAACCAGAGGTCGAAGCTTTTTTGATCTGTCTAAATTAGCTGTCAACAGCACGGACACACGAGCTTTGTTTGCCTTGCCGCCACTTGTCTTGTCGCCACGACACCCAAGTGTCTTGTTTGGCAACATTTGCCAAAACAGAGCGGTTTCATCCGCATTGAAGATATCTTGGGCTCTATATCTTGCTGCGATATCTCGCCAGTTTTCCTCGAGCTATTTTTCTATGCTGTCCAGGTCCACCGCTCTGCTTTCACCTGTAACAGCTTTGCCAACAATGTCGTGCCGTTCTTCGAACCGCTGAAGCCAGCCTGAACCGCCTTGGAAATCATTCCAGACAAGCAAAAAAGCAAGGTCCTTGGCTTTCTGCTCGATCATAGGGCCGGACACCGGGATGTTTCGCGACCGAACGTCCACAAACCACTTGTAAACGGCCGCTTCAACATCGTACACAGCTGCGCGCACACGTCGGGCGCCTTGAGCACCTGGCCTTTTGTCCGACTTGGTCCTAATGTCTGCCTTGTTCTTCAGGATAGTACTCAAGGTGCTCCTTGGAATTTTGTACGCCGCGGCGACGTCGAACTTCTTTTCACCGCGCTCAACCGGATTGACGATTTCGAGTTTCGTGGCGAACGACAAATTCTGCCTCTTTGCGCAAGCCATGATGACAGCGTGCTAATACAGCTCACAGAGCACCAACAGGCAACACCACAGACCACGCTGAATCGGCAGCAGCAGGCACACAAGCATAAAGAAAAAAAAATGGCGCTCATTTCTACCGCCTCGGAGAAAGCACGTCGGCCTCTGATTGGCTGTAGGCGCTGCGAGCAGGCCAATATCATTTCTTGGAGGGAGGTGTCTGCCCGCGCACAACCGGGTCTAACCAACTTTTTCTAGGGTGGCGCCGGCAGTTTTCCCCGCCACCGCGAGGGAAAGCCAACTTGCTGGGGCACTTTTGAGGCACATGGAGTTTGACATATCAGTTGTCGTTGCTATAGTCGTTGCTACTTTCGTTTGATAAAACAGTAACTTTTGCTATATGTTCTCAATAAAAACTTACCGTGTTTAGGAATGGTTCGATATACGGGATAATTTGATATAAACGGGTTCGATATAGTCGGGCTCGACTGTATCAAAGAAAGTCGAGCACATTTCCGCTATCCGCGAAGTCAATGCCTTTTGGCTTTGGTTTTGACTCTGGATATAAGCCAATACAGTGTTGCCTGCATAACCACCGCAAAAAAAAAAGGGCCAGGCTCAGCTGGTGCAGTTGACTGTCTGAAACAGCATGCTCAGTTTGCAAACTTTTCGACCCGGAACATGAACAATCGTTAAAAAATAGTTGTCGTTACGATGCTCGTAAAAATGTGCTGAAAATTGGGTACTTTACGATAAAATCATAAAACTTGGCAGGTATAGATATTGTATTGACGTATACCACAATGATCAGTCCATGCCTATTGCAGGCGAAGAATGGTTCGTTATATCCATTGTGAGGAAATTTTTGCTTTGTTAAACGAGGTTTTAAATACATGGGCGTCTATGGAAATTTCAAGAATTACAATTGCTTAATTATATCCATCAGTTTGTTATATCCCGCTTTTTTATAACCAGGAGGTTTAACTGTAAATGCATTTCGTCACATGCACATTGACTGCATGGCCCAAGGCAAGCACCCGGAGGCTTCAGAATAGTCTCTCAGCACAGCATTCAGCCGAAAGATGGTATTTTTCAAATCATCACAGCAGCCTCTGGAGTAACACGCCTTGGCAGCAAGTCGGGCCCTATGCTACGATAGTCGCATCTGGAAGAACAAATATATTCCCTTAGCTTTGTTCCTTTTAAAGAGTCTTATCAAAAATGCGACCTCTATGGCTGGGATCATGGCCCATGTACTTCGGGTATGCAGCCAAGCAGTGCAGCTGCTGCACCACCTTCAAAGAAAATACCCATTAACCTTATAAACCAATGCACACCTTACTTTTTCGAGTATATTCCCTTAGCTTTGTTCCTTTTAAAGAGTCTTATCAAAAATGCGACCTCTATGGCTGGGATCATGGCCCATGTACTTCGGGTATGCAGCCAAGCAGTGCAGCTGCTGCACCACCTTCAAAGAAAATACCCATTAACCTTATAAACCAATGCACACCTTACTTTTTCGAGTGGCAACATCACTGACTCTTATTTTATGTTGTCTTCACAACCCTTTGTGAAGAGAATGTTTCCAGGTGGCCTTTCCTGCGATGGGACAATTTCTTGCCTATACTGCTAGGCAGATGCTACATAAAAGTTGTCACCTTGCTTAGCATTTAAGCACCATAATTTTTTTCCTCGCCCTTATTAAATTGCAAGGTCTACAGTCATATTCAAATCGCCGAATGCAAAGACTACATACAAAGCAATCACAGCAGCTGCCTCTCTTCCCTGTTTATTAAGGAACACAATTTCAGCAAGCATTGCACATCCTCATGTGTCTCACAGCACCATCCCACGACATCAGCTTAAGATGTGACCGTTCCGTAACACAGGCACGCATCCCAGAATGCCCTTCCCTAGCCTACCATGCGATGAGCCACTTACGCTCAGACGCCCAGGAGAAGTTTCCACAGTCGAGGCGCAGGGCACGGTACTTCTTGTTGCCACCTCGTGTCCGGACTGTGTGGATGCGCTTCGGGCCAAGCTGTTGAATAAGGAACACACAAAATCAGCATCCTGCGACAGGTCAATGTGGTTTGCTATTTTGACTACACTTGTAGTTACAGTGGCCAAGATTTTGAACAAATGTTATTCAGAATGTTTGCAAGCACACATTATCAGATTACCAAATACATCGACCTATTGATTTTGGAAATTTAGTTGAAGGGCCCCGAAAAACGCGGACTAGAAGAAGCCAACAGGGCAGTACTTCCAGTAAGCAAGACAATCAGCACTGTCCTGTCTGCTTCTTCAAGCCTGTGTTTTTGGTGCACTTCAACAAAATTTTCCAAAATAAACCAACGGACTGGCCTAACTTGCAATCTTTCAGCCTGTTTACAGTTTTTTTTACCAAACTGGGGATTCGCTAACACTGCAAGTACCAAATAAAATCCAACAGAGTTGCAAGAGCAAGTGGCTGGTATAAAAAAACCTAGCCAAACTTACATGCTGCCTGAAATAGTAACTAGTTGGCTGAAACTAAATTGCACCACCTTGCCACGAAAGAAAAAAATAACTTGAAAGGACAGGCCAATACAGTAGACTCCAGTTAAAAAAAGACTCACAAACTCCAACGCCACACAGATTTGAACTTTTTGTGTTTATAGAAGCAGCACTTACACACCACCAAGGGAAGAAAATGCAAGTCATTCTAGGCATGTGAATGTCACAAGGTCATGGAGGTCTTAGTCACTCCGCATGAGAAAATGGGTGCTGCTTTTAACTTGCTCGCAAACACCTCAAACATTGAATGCTTTGTCAAATTTGGTCTAAAGTTTTTTTTTTTTTTTCTCCAGCTAAGCCATAGCCAGTGCGATGGAGGGGCTTCAGCTTTGCCCTCCCCATTCCACGGCGTGAAAGATATTCGCTCCAACTTTTGTTTTGCTTCAACACTCCCAAAGAACCCAAACAGTAGGTCAATGAACCGTTTTCAGAGTTGTCTTCTACTCATTGTGAGAGGCTATTGAAAGTTTCAAGTAGCCAGTTTGGGAAAGACTAAACCCATAGGCACACTGATGCGACCACTTGAGTAAACTTTGCATTGTGAGTAGACTATACATACAAAGAATGTTCGGCGACAAAAATAGAAGATAATGTTTATCAAGAATACAAAATGAAGCACTAAACTTAAAAAAAACTGCATTCAAAGTGGTCAAGCGGCGAGACCAGGTCACTTGGCGGAGAATGACCAAACACCATCACCTTAAGCAGCTATTTTCTGAAAGGCACGTGCAGAGTCATACACTTGACAGTGACCACCCAACTCCGAGAAATGTTTTCAAAAATCAAAGCTTGTTTTCATCTATGCACGCATATTTGGTGCCTTGAAAAACCAGACGACGGTAGTCGATCACTATTACAGCCGAAAATCCAGATTTGCCAGCTTCCCTATGACATCTCTAAACAGCCACGATGCCGTGCTTCTGCACGTTTCTAACGAACGAATCGGAGCAAAAGCATTTGTGTTCATTTCTGCTGCAAAAGCCAAAACAATAAGCCAGTGCTGAGGTTTGCACCCACATTTTTCACAATGCATGGCCAAACGCGCACTAGGGCGACCTTTCAGGCTGGAGAAGTTCTGAGTGTAGCGTTGCAGCAGCGTCCAGTCTGCCAAACATCAAGGGAATGTTATACACTGCATTAGTCGCACAGTCCACCAACTGGTTCTTGCTCAAATGTCTGATGTTACATTCTTTGTTCGTTCCTTGACTTTGAAAATCCTTTCCATTTGGGACACTCCTTTCCTATTTTGTTATGGGCTGAAATTAACCTAGTGCACGAAGCATGCACCTTAGTATGTGGATGCGTGGTGTCTCGCCAACGAGCAACTTGCTGTAGAATTACTGTGTTCACAGCATGAAAACGAGACTTCCTTAAAGCTTATATGAAACAAGACATTTACTTCACAAGTCTGCAATCGTCGGACGCAAAATGCAAAAGCGGATTCCCTGCGCTTCCACAAATTTGTTCCAACTCGTGCTTCTACAACAGAACGAACAAGTGTGGGCAGCTGCTTTTAGATGAACTTACAGTCGTAGGTTCTAGTCCGATCAATTGTAGCACGACTTGTTCTCCAAATCACAGATTCAACATTGTGGTGCCACAGGCACGTCACTACGGAGGCCAAAGGGACCCGGAGAGAAGGAATTGTCTCTTGGAAGTTGTGGCATGCTGGCGGCCCGTGCTGACACATGTGACTTAGTTGATTGTGAAAGCATTTTGCACACAATGAGTGTTTACTTGAAATGATCGAAAAATATCAGAGGTGGTCTGGGGCCATTTAAATGTAACCCCATACGATACTTCATCCCACTTAAGGACAACGTGAATACAAGAAAAACACTCGGACACTTGCAATGACTAGCATGAGCGATAACCTTTCTAGGCTACATCTAGATGTGAGGTTCTCCACGGCAGTCCAAAGGCCATGAGGCACAATGGTCAGTGCATGGTCCAACCGACATTTTTTCTGTTCCCTGGTTTTAGGGCGTGGCCACTTGAAGGGGACACGCGTAGAGCAACACAGGGGAAGCCCGCACAACTTGTAGATGCCATGTTTGCGTGCAAAGCACCCTGAGCAATGAACTTGCTCCTTCCAAGTACAGACAATCCAATGTTACTCAAACTTAAATCCACATACTTTTGTTCTTGGCATCGCTGCAGATACCAACACGTTTTTACAGTGATTACATTTGAGACCATCAGTGTAGACATGTTGCAAGAAAGCTGGGAAATCGCAAATCCGCGAGGCATATGAGAAGCTCGGAATCTCGGTCCCCACGTGCGAGCGGCCCACGACAGTGATCTGTGTATAGAAGGACCCAATAAACATTAATCCAATTAAATCCCACCCATTCTCTTCCTGCCATCACGACACAGCACATGCGAGGTACCCACTATATGCCATAACAATGACAATACAAAACAAGAGTGTTCCAGACCACGCATTCTCTTTCTGCCACGAAGAAAAATGCTCTCAACAGTGCTTTCACCCACAAAAGGACAACCAATAAAGCAATATTGCATAAAACTGTACACACGAGTTGTCACTTGTGTTCCACGTGGGGGGAGATGTGTAACCTTTGGTTTCATGAAGGAGTGGGCCAGCCAGACGCACCAAATTGCAGAAGGGAATGCAAGCTCCGATGGCGGGCGGATCCCACAAACCACGTTGCAGAGTTAGCCCGCAATGTCAAACGCAACGACACGCAGGCACTCGTGTCAATGTGATTGCAGCAGTGCGCTCGTCAGACCAAACGCCCGCTTTCAGTGGGAGTTTCTCCAGCGGCCCCTTGGCTATCGTTGGTTAAAGGCACCGACAACTACCCAGACCATGAAATAAGATGACTGCATGAATGGAAAGAGTCCCTTATAGCAACTCAAACCACCAGTTTTTCTCGTGAAGCAGATTTAAATTTTTATTCCTTCACTGGAAATCGTAAAAAACTCCGTGGCGCTTCTGGTGGCTAAAGATTAACTTATTCAATGTACTCGCTCAAATGACTACAGATTAGTGTACACAATCAACTTTTTTTGTATGCTTTATTATAGTAAAAGATAATACTACATAAAATATATGTACATATAGGAGGGTTGCACTTAACGTCATCCATTTGAGGTGCTAGCGGCGTTTGCCTCTACCGCTGTATCAGTGGTCTGGGTGTGCCAGGCCCCCTTTACAAAGCAACGAGTGGCAGTGAGAGGTTGTGTGCATGCCGCTACGTAACGTACTGGTTGTAAAATGCGACTGAGTGCTTACCGTATTTACTCTATTATACCGCGCCCTCGATTGTAGCGCGCACCCGGTTTTCACGACGAAAAAAAAAAGTAAGAAATGAATTGCAACGCACCTATTTTTCTCGTTGGCCCGCACGATCACACCACTCGGGAAAACGACTCCTTTCGGGAGCGTCTTCCGTTTATTATATGTAGTACGGGGGAAGCATGTGCCTATCTGACGTGCAACGGAGCCTTGCCGCCACTCTAGTTTTACCGTGGCCCGATGTCAGCACGCAAACTTGCTTCGCCCCCTTCAAGACGGTTGTGGTGCCAGGCATGTCGAAGTAAAAAGGCATCTGATCGGCATTCCCGATTTGCCAAAGCAGGTAGCCGTTGTTGTGCCGCAAGTTTAGGGCGAACCTCTGAAAACCGTGAAGCTTTTCTTTGTACTCCTCCGGCAACTTTTCGCATAAACCCGTTCGCCTTCGGAGGGGAAAGCCTTTCCTCTTCATAAAGTTAATTAGCCAGCACCTGCTCGCTTTAAACTGACTCCGCATTAGCTCTTTTTCTAAGGCTAACTGCATAGCCTGCACTTGGAGCAGTTCTGTCGCCACGGGCCGCTGTGCCGCTCACTGCTCAATCACATACTCGCCGAGCAGCTCTTCATTTGCGGAAACCGGCGCTGTTGTGGTCCACTGAAGCCTCTGCGTGAATCTTTGCTGTCGACAATCTTCTGCTTTTGTTTCTGCCAGTCCCACACGCACGTTTCGAGAACTCCAAACGACCGCGATGCGGCCCGATTTCCGTCCGTTTCGGCACACGCGATGACTTTTCTTTTAAAAGCGGCATCGTGGCGCACTCGAGTTTTTGGAGTCGGCTCTTCCATGCCGTGGATGCTAATGCACTACAAGATGACGAACTCCTCAGCACACGTATGAAGTGCCGCACATGGGAAATACATAGGCAGAAACGGCCGACGCGCGTAGGGGGTGACCATTTTGGAAATGCCGATGGCAATAAAATGACCGTATTAATTTTTTTTCGTACTCGATTCTAACGCGCATGCGATTTATGAACTCGCTTCATCGGAAAAAAGGTGTGCGTTAGATTTAAGTAATTACAGTATGCAGGTGACTTTCGAGGTCCGGTGAAACTTCACTACGAACATAAGATTCACCTATGCGGCGGATATCGACCCGTTCGACTTCAGCAGCGCTGAAGTTGTGTGTGATGTGAAGTGTTATTCCCGCATCAAGCTCACAAATA